AAGAGGGGTTAGACTACAATGAAACTTTTTCTCCTGTTGCCAAGATGGTTACTATAAGGTCTATAGTTGCTATTGCTGCTACCAAAGACTGGCCTGTTTTTCAGATGGATGTACACAACGCATTTCTGCATGGTGACTTACTTGAAGAGGTTTACATGGAAATTCCTTTTGGTTTTGCAGGCAAGGGGGGAAATCATCATGTTTGCAAACTCCATAAGTCATTTTATGGGCTTAAACAGGCTTCACGACAATGGAACAAGAAGCTAACAGATGCATTGGTTAAGCTTGGGTTTTCTCAAAGTCACTTTGACTACTCTTTATTCACTAAAGTAGTTGTAGGAGATATAGTGATTGTTTTGGTATATGTGGATGACCTACTAGTGACTGGAAGCAGTGTTCAGTTGATTACTTAAACAAGAAATGATCTTAAGCTGCAATTCAAGATGAAAGATCTAGGAAAATTGAAATTTTTCCTAGGAATTGAATTTGCAAGATCCAAGAAAGGAATTGTTATGAGCCAAAGAAAGTATGCATTGGAGTTGGTGTCTTAGATGGGGCTAAGTGGTACAAAGCCATTCACAACACCACTGGAAACAAATCTTAAACTCATATTTGTTGACTATGATTCCATCATTAATAATACTTCTGCAGATAATGATGATAAACTTCTTACTGATCCTGGAAAGTATCAAAGGTTAGTAGGCAGATTACTCTACTTAACCATGACAAGGATTAATATAGCATATGTGGTACAACTTTTAAGTCAGTTCATGCATAAGCCCAAACAGTCTCATTTTGAAGCAGCTTTAAGGGTAGTTAAATATATAAAAGGATTTCCAGGACTTGGTTTACTTATGCCTGCAGATAGCTCATGCAAGTTTGAGGCATTTTGTGACTCTGATTGGGGTGGATGTTTACAAATCAGAAGATCAGTCACAAGTTACTTAGTTAAGTTTGGAAATGCTGTTGTTTCATGGAAGTCAAAGAAGCAAGAAACAGTTCCAAGAAGCTCAGCTGAAGAAGATTTCAAAAGTATGGCATCAGTTGTAGCAGAAATAACATGGATGATTGGACTGTATAAAGAACTTGGAATAATAGTTGAGGTTCCTATACATCTTCACTGTGATAGCAAAGCAGCAATTCAAGTTGCAGCCAATCCCATTTTTCATGAGAGAACAAAGCACATTGACATTGATTGTCACTTTGTGCGTGAGAAAATTGTGCAAGGAATGATACAGACTCATCATGTTTCTACAAAGGAACAACAAGCAGACATAATCACAAAAATCTTAGGAAGGCAACAACACAATTATTTCATGTCCAAGCTGAGCTTGAAGGATATATATCAACCATCAGCTTGAGAAAGGGTGTTGAAATAGAAATATAGAGTAGAGCTGACTAACAACTGATTACAACTTAGTTAGTTAGTTAATTTACAGTTAGTTAGTTACAGATTAGTTCTAGAAGATTCTTAGTTTAGTTAAGAAGTGTATAAATATATATCACATGTATGAGATGAAGGGTATCAATCAATGACATTTCTTCTTCAAAGTTTCTCTTCTTCTGCATCTCTCAATCTCCAAATACTCGTTGTTTCTTCTGATTGAGCTGCAGATTATGAAGATTAACATATATAACTCTGCACACAGATTGAATGACTAATAATATTCATTCTCCCAAATATTCTCTAAAGCTTCTTTACTTCCATTAATGGAGATTCTCAATATGGTATCAGAGCCATAGGATTTTTCGCTGTAATCCTCTGCTAGTTTTCTTCTTTCTTCTTCTCTATTTCTCTCAAATTAAAGATCAGGTGTTCATCTTCTAGTTACAGTGCTTCGTTGTTATGGCAATTGAGGAAGAATCTGTTGTTGCTGCTGAAGTTCAAGTTTCTGCTGTAATCGATCACAATCATCCTCTGTATATTCATCCTTCTGATACTCATGGTTCCATGCTTATTTCAATTCAGCTTCTAGGATCTGAAAATTACTCGTTATGGAGTAAATCCTTGAAGCCTGTGTTACTTGGTAAAAATAAGCTAGGTTTTCTATTAGGAACTTGTACTAAGAACATGTATCCTTCCTCTATGCATGATCAATGGGAGAGATGCAATGCTATTGTTCTAGCGTGGATTATGAATACTGTCTCTAAGAGTTTAGTTAGCACTGTGATTTATGGATCTGATGCACACACTGTTTGGGAGGATCTTCGAGAAAGGTTTGATAAGGTTAATGCTTCTAGGGCATTCTATCTTCAGAAAGAAATTGTTACATTGTCTCAGGGAACTACGTCTGTATCGAATTATTTTTCCAGGCTAAGAGAACTTTGGGATAAATTTGAAACACTTATATCACCTCCTTCCTGTGCATGTACTGAATCCAAACAGTATGCAGAACATTTTCAGTTTTAGAAGTTATGGCAATTTCTGATGGGTCTAAATGAGTCTTATGCTCATGCTAAGAGTCAAGTGTTAATTCAAATTCCTACACCAAATGTTAATCAAGCTTATGCTATGGTCATTAATGTAGAAAGTCAAAGAGTGAATAGTGCTAGTAGTAGATCATTTTCTACAAAAACTGCTCTTATGAGTAATAGAATTTCTTGTCATGGTAATGGATATCAGAACAGTAGTAGTTCTAGTTCAGGTCCTGCTTACTATCCTAGCAATGGTCCTAACGAAAATAGTGGTTATAGATATAGAAACAATGGTGATGTACGACAAGGAGGAAGATCAAATCTCTATTGTGATTACTGTCATTACAGAGGACATACTAAATAAATCTTGCTACAAGCTTCATGGCTATCCTAAGAAGAAAGGAGGTTCTTCTTCTCATGCTAACAATGCTGCTACTGGAGGATGTCAGCCTCCTGAAAATGGAGTCTATGATAATTCCTCTGTAAATACTAATGCTAAGTCCTATGGTACATCTCCTAACAATTTCTCAGCAGGTACACAAGGCATGTCACTCTTTACAGATGAACAATACAATCAGATTATACAAATGTTGAGCAAAGGAAAAGGCAAGGAAGTAGATTCCATAGCTAATGTTGCAACTGCAAGCTCCTCAGGTTCTCTTACAACTCTTATGTCTGATATGGCTCATACCAACTGGATTATAGATTAAGGTGCTCCAAATCATATGTTCACAGTCTGAGTCTTATGAAATAATGTACAGACCTTGGAAGTAGAAGTGATATGAAAGTGAATTTGCCTACTGGTGCTCAGGTGGCTATTAGTCATGTTGGAGATTCACTTGTTCTTAAGGATAAATTAGCGAAGGATGTTCTCTATATCCCAGATTTTCAGTATAATCTATTATCTGTTTCTCAACTAACTAAACAATTAAAGTGTGCAGTACTATTTTTCCCTGACTTCTGTATCTTTTAGGATCTCTTTAGTGGGAGGGTCCTGGGGATTGGTAAGGAAGATCAAGAATTAAAAATATCTTCTCAATACAGAATTACAACCAAGTACTTCGCAAGACAGGATTACTAGGAACTCATATATCAGTTCTCCTATCAGTTTTACTTCTATTTGTTCACTACATAGTCTTTGACATAAGAGACTTGAGTATGCCCCGTTTACAGTTCTCAATAGAATACAATGTTTACAAAATGTACCTATGAAAGATCACAATTGTATTGTTTGTCCTATTGCAAAGCAAACAAGATTACCATTTCCTACTAGTATGTCTCTATCCAATACTTGTTTTGACATAATGCATGTTGATGTATGGGGGACCTATAGAGTTTCTAACTATGATGAAAAGAGATATTTTTTAGCACTGGTAGATGATAAATCCAAATATACTTGGATTTCCTTAATGCACACTAAGTCTGACACTATTGTCTTGTTGAGAGATTTTATCTGTATGATCAAGACACAATTTGGAACCACTGTCAAGTGTATAAGATCAGATAATGGAACAAAATTTTTTAATTCTCAAGTAGATGCTCTGTTCAGAGAGCATGGGATTTTGCATCAAAGTTCATGTGTTCATTCTCCTCAACAAATGGTGTAGTTGAGAGGAAACATAGATCTATTCTTGACATGGCTAGAGCCTTAAGATTTCAGGCGTATTCCTATTAGATTCTGGGGTATGTATATGTATGCAGCAGTATACATTCTTAATAGGCTACCTACCAAATTACACAAAGGCAAGTCTTCATATGAGTTGTTATATGGTCATACTCCTTCTCTTAGTCATGTGCGAGTTCTTGGTTCTTTATGTTATGCTACTGACCCCAAAAAACTTGATAAGTTTGCTCCTAGAGCTATCCCTGCTATTCATATGGGTTATTCTTCTACTCAGAAAGGGTATATCTTATATGATTTCAGCTCCAAAATCTTCTTTGTAAGTAGAGACGCTGTGTTCAAAGAAGATATATTTCCTTTCAAAGATCTCAAATCTTATCCTGATTCTTTGTTTCCAATTATTACTCTTCCTGTTGACTTGGATTCTGAATTATCTACTCCTAGTTCAACTTCTTCTTCTTATTTTCCTACATCTGTTAGAAATGTTGTTTCTTCTGAAATTAGTGATTCTGCAAGAGTTGTTCCATCTGTTTCTCCTCTTAGGAGGTCCTCTAGGTAGTCTAAACCTCCTGTTATGCTAGACTCTTATGTTACTCCAACAGAAAAAGATGCATCTCTATATCCTATTTTCAACTATGTTTCATATTCACCTTTATCTCCTACTTGTAGAGCTTCTCTTGCCGCTTATTCTGACACCTCAGAACCTCATACATACTCAGAAGCCTGTCAAGATCCTCTTTGGGTGGCTGCTATGCAGGATGAAATTACTGCTCTTGAAAATAATGATACTTGGTCTATTGTTTCTCTTCTCACTGATAAAGTTGCTATTGGTTGTAAATGGGTGTTTAAGATTAAATACAAAGCTTCAGGGCAGGTTTAGAGATACAAATCAAGGCTTGTTGCTAAGGGATATAGTCAACAAGAAGGCCTAGACTTCACTGAAACTTTTTCCCCGGTTGCAAAAATGGTTACTGTCAGGTCTGTCATTGCCCTTGCTGCCTCTTGTGGTTGGTATATATTTCAGATGGATGTTCATAATGCCTTTCTACAAGGTGATTTTCTTGAAGAGGTCTACATGTAGATTCCTGAGGGTTTTGCAAACCAGGGGGAGAAATACATGGTTTGAAAGCTTCATAAGTCAATATATGGACTAAAGCAATCCCCTAGACAATGGAACCTAAAACTTACTGAAGCACTGATTGATATGGGGTTCTTGCAATCTCATTATGACTATTCATTGTTTACGAAGAGAGTAGGGAAAGAACTTCTTGTCATACTCGTATATGTAGATGATGTTTTGATCACTGGGAGCAACTTAAATTTGCTACAACAAGTTAGAAAAGACTTATAATACAGATTCAAAATGAAGGATCTTGGAGAGTTAAAATATTTTCTTGGAATTGAGTTTTCCGGAAATGCAGATGGTATTCTTATGAATCTGAGAGAATATGCACTTGGACTTGTATCTGAACTTGGACTTGCAGGGTGTAAACTTGGATCCACTCCCTTAGCGTTCAATCACAAGTTGACATCCACTGTGTTTGATAAATGTACATGAATTAATGCAGAAGATAAAGCTCTTGATGATTATGAAAAATTTCAAATATTGGTAGGTAGACTATTGTACTTGACTATGACTAGGCCTGATATTGCCTTTGTAGTTCAAGTACTTAGTCAATATATGCACTCACCAAAAACTTCTCATATGGAAGCAACACTTAGAGTGGTGAGATACATAAATGGTACAACAGGTCTTGGTTTGTTCATGACAAGCAACAATATGTCTGAGCTTGTAGCTTACTGTGACTCAGACTGGGGAGCATGTATAGAATCCAGAAAGTCAATGACTGGCTACATAGTCAAGTTGGTAAATGCTTTAGCGTCTTGGAAAGCAAAGAAACAAAATACAGTTTCAAGAAGTTCTCCAGAAGCAGAGTTCAGAAGTATGGCCACCACAATAGCTGAGATAGTTTGGCTGAAAGGGTTGTTCAATGAATTGGAGTAGAAGTTAAGCTGCATGTTCAACTGTTTTGTGATAGTAAAGTTGTTCTTCAAATAGCAGCACATCCTATCTTTCATGAACGGACAAAGCACTTTGATATAGACTGTCATTTTGTAAGGGAAAAGATCACGGAAGGACTCATTCAAACTCAACACATAGGAACTAAGGAGCAACAAGCAGATATACTTACTAAAGGACTGTGCAAGCCTCAACATGAGTTGCTAATTGAAAAGCTTGGAATGAAAAATATATTTTTCAATTCTAAGCTTGAGGGGGAGTGTTGAAATCATGTAAATAATTAGTTCATTTTATTAGAAATAGTTAGTTACAAAAATTAGTTACAAGTTAGTTAGAAAAAGAATCTTAGTTAGTTATTTTCTTTTATCACTTTATGTATATATATAACTCTGCACACAGATTGAATGACTTATAATATTCATTCTCCCAAATATTCTCTAAAGCTTCTTTACTTCCATTAATTGAGATTCTCAACGGTTTCACATGCAAGAATATTCAAGAATCAAGTAGGCTAATTGATACTTATAATGCTGTAGTCTAATTATTTCTATTGAATACTGAACACAATTTACATTATTTATTGATTTTTTGGGTCTTTGATCTACTTGGATTATAATAATTTTATTTTCACGTTAATAAAAGGGGATTCGAGGACTGTTTGAAGCATGCAAATACACTAATCGCGTGTGTATACATATATATTAGAGGTGACAAATGGGTGGGTTAAGTCAAATGTTTGCGGGTTTAAAAATGGGTAAACATAAAATGAATAATTATTCAAGCCGCTCATATTTGATATGGGTAAAAATGGGTTGGATAATAAATAGGTTGGGTAAAATAATAGTTTACCCATATTTTATGAATAAATAGTTCTTTACTTAAGAATTCAATATGGAGAAAATATTTTAATCTTTTTATTAGATGGAATCTGTTGAAAATGCTTAATTTAGTTTTATTTTATTATAAAAGTAAAAAAAAATTCGGGGTTGGGGTGGGGCTGGGGGCCTGATAGGGGGCTAGAAGGGGTGGGGGTGGGTCCAGGGTAGAGTGAAAAAAATTTGAAGTTAAAAATATTATTTAAACAAACTTAATATTTTTGAAGGGTAAAGGTTGGTTAGGGGTAGGGGGTTGGGGTGGGGAAACGATGGTTGGGGTGGGGCGGGTCCATGGTAGGGTGAAAAAATAAATATCTGAAGTTGAAATTCATAAAACAAACTTAATTTTATTTTGGTTGGGGTGGGGGTGGGGGTGGGGTTATGGGGGGACGATGGTAGGGATGAAAAAATGAAATTTAAAGTTGATTCTTTTTTAAAAGTAAACTTAAATTTTTTTGGGGGTGGGGAGTGAAGGGGCTGGTGTGGGAGTGGGTTGGGGGGCTGGTCGAGGGTAGGGGTGAAAAAATGAAATTTTGAAGTTCAAAATATTTTTTAAAAATAAATTTTAATTTTTTTGGAAGCGCGGGGTGGAAGTCGAGAGTTGAAATATTAATAGGGACCCATATATGAAAGTTTTGAAAAATCGCGAATATTACACATATTTAAGATCACTCTTTCAACCCATATTTAAAGGGTTATTTGGACGGATAATTGAAAAATGAGTTTAAATTGTCAGCACTGGGTTTTAGGGTTTATATATATATATATATATATATAAATAAAATTAATTAATTAATAATAATAAACAAAATTAAGAACAAGAACAAACGAAGAGATAGTATAATAATGATATATGCCAAACTTTTCTATTATTACTTTACATTTGGAAATGTACTAATCTCTCTGTCTGTAACGACCTGTTTAG